ATTATACTTCTTCCACACCCAAAATCATTACAAAAATTTCTTGTGCAAGTTGCAGTTCTATATCTTATGGTCATAGGTTATCAACGTCACAATTGCACAAAGCATATAAAGGAGAGGAAAATGGGAAGTGTATATCTTTCTTCATGAAGGGTCTGGTTTTTTACCACTAAAAAGTTGCTTATATGGCAAAACATCACTTGTATCTGGATAACCCCTCATTCTCTGTTGCTCTGTTCCAGGAGACTTGGGAAATGCTTGTTTGGATGAATTGAGGGTCCTGTGACTTCTCCACTCTTCCTTTCCCTCCCTTGTCATCTGGTTTAAAGTTACTTTTTGACTTGTGGCTTTTTGGTGTGAATTTAGTGTGAAGCAGTGTTGGTCCAAGTTTTCCTCTAAGCAGCATAAGTGGTTGTAGTGTTTGCTGCCTCATCACTTCCATTAGTGGCTGTTGCTCTGAGACTTGCAGAGAAGGCATCAGAGGAATTTAAAATGATCTGTTCTTTTGTTAAATCTGTTACCATGGGCTTTTTGTTTGTTTGGCCCCAAATTCATGGAGATTCATGATTTGGAAGAATTGCTGCCAACTTTTTCTTTGGGTTATTCTTTCTTTAGTAGAGAGAGATACCTAGGTATATTGCCTGATCTTGCTTTTCCTCCAGTCAGTCAGATGTATTATGGTCTGTGGGGAGGGAAAGGTCTTTTCATGAAATCATTTTATAATGATTTCTCTGTTGGTTTTCATAGCTAACTGAAAACAAACGATAAAAAATTCCTAGCTTGATGACTGTAATGTTTTTATAAATGCCTGTATCTGTGTGTGTTGGAAAAGGATTTGTCTCCATGCTTGATTCTCCTCTTTAAAGATTTAGATTAATCCTAAAATTGTTTACTCAGATGTGATGAATTACAAGTGGATGAAATTACATTGTTGTCAGATTGACTCATCCTCCTGCTTTGCTCCCCTAGTTGGGAACATTGACTTCCAGCTTTGAAGTGTTTGCTCACTTGAAGACCTGGGTTTTACACAGATGAGGTATCTCCCTTGTTAGAGATTTAGAGGATTTTGATCACTGACTTTTGATGTGATAATCAAGGATAAGAAGGGGAAAAAAAAAGATCAGGGGTAGGACAGCTGAAAGGGAAGGAAAAGCAATACCTATGTCTCTGACTTATGGCAAGCTTCTTCCCCAAAAAGATGTGCAGGGTCATTAAACAAGATGAGGAGAGGGGGGAATGTTTTAGGATCTATCAGCTGGCAAGCAGTTTGAAATGCCCTGATGCCCTGTAAAGCGTTGCCCCGGCAGCTGGAGCATGTGACAGCGAGAGATTATCTTGGTGTGACTGTATCTCTTATGCAGTTGCTGCACTTTAGTCTCCAGGTCTTCATGCCTTTTGTAATTAACGGTGAGAATGTTGCTTGGTGGTTGGAGCATGCTGAACTCTGCATAAAAGGGGAAAAATAATTGCTTCTCTGTAAAGTTTCTTCTAGTTCTGCGTTTGATAAATAACAGGGCTATGATTATTAGAAGTAGGTTTTATTTTGTAGTCTTCTAAAACCCTTTAATCTTAGGAGAAGGAGACTGTAGGTGTGAGGGAGTTTGGACAGAAGGCCTCTAGGAGGACGGTATCTGTTTCTGAATATTTCTGCGTGATTCTATGAGACTTCTTATGGCAAACTGAAGAGAAAAATTGTTCCTTGCTGTACTCAGCATTTTGCTAAATACTCTTCATTCCCAATAGCTAAAATAGCCTGAATACCATGAGGGCTTCTTACTAACCTATAACTATGTTAATGCCTTTCTTGCCACAAGGGTAGCTTCAGTAAAAAGCCAAAACATTACACACTGCAGAATGCACACAGTGGCCACGGCCAACAAACTGCTAATGCCACTTTCCTCTGAAAATGAAACAGTATTTACAAGGCTTCCTTGCTCTGGGGAAAATTTCCAGTGGGAACTAGTTGCTGTGAAAGGAAAATCTGGTCTGATGGAAATGTTTGGTTGGGTTTGGGTCCTTTGCTGTTCTTTCACATGCACAGGATCTGCAAACTACTTGTGCCAAAAGTCTGTGTTCTAGGAAATGCTCTGCTACTTTGTGTTTGGTGAAACTCTGCAAATAGTGTCAATAGTTTAAATAGTTCAATAGTTTAAATAGTCTGTGGGCATGGGGAGAGGATGGTCCTTCTCACAGACTTTGGCGTTTTCAGGTCTGATAACATGAGGATCAGCTATGTTTGGGTACCATTTGATGGGTAGCCTGCCTTCAGAGTAACAGTTTGCTATGCCTGCTAGTTAACAGTTAGCAGTTTAGATAAGATAGGAGAGATTTATATCTTTGAATCCTGAAGAAATTCAAGTAAGACTCTGAATCTGGTCCTAAAGCTGAAGGTCTTGTCTTAAATTCCTGACAAGAGGCTAAAGTAAGGTTGCCTTGACAGTAACACAGGATTGCAGGCTGGGGTTGGGGGAGGAAGGGGGAACAGAGGTGTCTTATCTGCTCTTTCCAGACAAGAGCTTGTTATTATCTGTCCGGGTGACTTGAGCAGAGATGAAGGAAAACAACATGTATGTTTCCGTGAGCAGAAACAAGCCCGTTCCCTTGGTAAGAAGTGTTCAGGAAATTTGTCATGGGGCCCTGTATAATGCCATGGTTCTGCTGCTGTGGAATCAGTCTCATAAATCCTGAGCCCAGGCTGAGGAGGGACCTTCCTGACAGTGGTGTTTTACCACTTGTACGGAATGGGCCAAAGAATTTCCTACACAAACTTTAAATATATGTATGTTAAGGCACGGAGGTGGTTTTCCCAATTTACGTTTCTGAATTTAAGCTTTCTCCTTGCAGTTTAATCTCACACAACTTAATATAAATGCAGTTGTATAAAATTATTTCATTGCCAGGTGAAAGATACTCATCTGTGCTTACGGCACCTGGAATAGTGATAGGAGGAGGCTTCTGGGCTGTCACAGGCATCTTGACCACTTCTTTCTAGCCCCGTTAAACGCCTACAGCTGATCTAAAATAACACTTGCATTGCCCTGAAAAATGTATGCTGTTTTCCCTGTGTAAAAATTGTTAAGCTAGAGATTTTACTGCACTTTTGGGAGAAGTGAGCTCTCACTCATTCAGCTCCTCACGCTGTCAGCTTTGGAACTTGGAGATGACAAACACTGGCACAAGCACTTGTTTTGCAACCAAAATATCTGTTATGCTTTGCCTCCTGGACACCTTTTGGTATGTTGTGAGAAACACCTGCCCTCGGCTCTCCAAGGTGCTGTAGCTTTTATCCTCTAATGATTTCTGAGGTGGTTACAATTGTCAATAGAGAAATTGCTGACAGATTGAAAACGTGTGGGCGATGTTATTTCAAAATGCACACAGAAGATCTTGCTGATTTGGTTGTACTAGCTTACATTTATTCTTAATTTCTCGAAGTTATGATTTATTTATTTATTTATTTATTTAGTAATTTGGAACAGAGCAGCCACAGAATCAACAGATTGCTGCCCTTTCCAGCAGCAACAGTCAAGACCAAGCTGATGCCATGAAAGACTGTCTGGGCTTTGTCATCTCTAAAGACAGTCAGGAGTTGTCTAAAGACAAAAAAAAGTTGCACTTGTAGCCACATTTCAGTTCCACAAAGATCTGTGCAAACTGTATTTAGCTTGTGGGGGAATAACAACTGTATTGATTTCTTGAATAGCACCAAGAATGATAGTACTGCACATTTCAGTGCCTAAAACCTGAGGTTTTCCCTCTTTCTCCTCTAACTTCTTCGATGGCCAGGCACACGGTGTCTGTGGCACAGCAGGGACTGGTGGGAGCTTCAGGGCAGTTGATCCCAATTTGACAAAGCCATGCAGAGGCGGGGTAGCAAAATCAGCTCAGCGTGAAACGGGGCTGGCCGGGTGGGAAGAAAGCTTTTCTCTTGCATGTAAACCGGTTAATTATAGTTTGGGGAGTGAAAAGAGTTTCCTGAAGCTGAGCACTATTCAAATTAGAAGCGCTGTGCTTCTATTTATTTGACTGAAGTATTTGGCACATTTATTTGACTGATCATCTCTCTTTTCACCTCATGCTGAAGATGCAGTGGAAAAGAGAAGAGATTTTGCTTTCCACCTCTCATCTGCTGTTCAGTTACACTTTTTTGTTGAGTTGTTTTTTTTCCTCCTCTCTTCTTTCTCCCACACTTCCATTCTTTAAACTGCCAGCTACATCTACTCCTTGTATTCATCTGAAGTGGGAAGATTTTGAAGTACAGAACCTTTGGCAAAGTTTTTTTGTGGTTTTTACCCAAGCTAACTTTTATTCTGTGGTTTGCTTGGTGCTACATATTCATCTATATGGAGATGATGATCAGAGTGGAAAGTATGGATATTTTGTGTTCAGCCTAGCAATTACTTCTTATTCTGTAGAAAACAAAACAAACATAGAAGTCCTGCTTACTCTCAAAATATCTGGTTGTCAGACCTCTTTTGCAGAAGCTCCCTATTGTATCATTTTTGTAATGAACTGATAATGAGTGGGTTTATTCTCTTGCACAACACTTGTCAAAAAAAAAAAAAAAAGCATTGTGTTTGTCTTCATCTTTTCTTCCATTGTTCATGATTTGTTCCTTTCTCTTTCTCCAGTTTCTACTATTTTATACTGAATTGCTTACTGTATTTAAAGATATATTTGTAAAGTGCCTCTGGCAGAAGAGTTTAGGCACCTCTATTCTTGCCCCTCTAGCTGAAGTGGAAAGAGAGTTCTTGCTTGAATTTCTGTCTGTGTTGGACAAGATAGGAGAGGGGGCTGCAGTTGAACTGCGGAAGATTTACCCAAATTTTCTGTTAACAGGATAGGATATTTTCACCCCTCCCTTCTCTGTCTTGCTCTTTTCCTTTCTCTTTGTTTTGCACAACTGCTTCAATTCCTTCACTGTCTTGCAGTGCATGTCCATGTCACAACCTGATGCTAGAGGGAACTGCTAGTCCAAGGCTGACTCTTTGCTTTTGCTGCAGGCTGAGTCCTGAGGCGTGAAGACTTGTTAACATCGCTGAGATTGATGCTTAGACCCTCAAGAGAAGAGACTTTCTGACAGCCTGCTCCACTCCACCTGTCCCTATGACTGGAGGGTTCACTGTAGCTCTCCAGTTCCACAAGATGGGTTCATTCAGAAGGCCACGGCCTCGCTTCATGAGCTCGCCGGTCCTCAGTGACCTGCCACGGTTCCAGGCCGCCCGGCAGGCTCTGCAGCTCAGCTCCAACTCTGCCTGGAACAGGTGAGCAGCACCCACCGGGCTGAGACCTGCCGCAGCCCTACCACACAGGCTGATCTCTGTGCTTCAGACCATTCATGGCTAAGCTCGTCTCGTTATAAGCACGCATGAATTTTTTGCATGCCCAAGTTTTACCAGCATTGAAAGCCTCTATTGAGGTGAAAAAATTAGACTTAGTAGTGTTCAGCCTTGGTTTTGGCCAACATTGCTCAGAGGTACTGTCTTGAAGTAAAACAGAATTGTTCTTTGTCAACAGTTGCATCTTTTAAGTACCATTTTGATACTTAAAAGTGCTAGGAAAAAGTACTAGAAAACACATTCCTAGTACTATAATAAAGGCCAGTTTCTCAATGCACAGCGGGCATTTATTTGTGTATTATGAAGCTTTTACCACAGTCGGGTTCCTCTGAGAACTGCTAAGCTTGTGGCTTCTACCAGCATTTCCTATTGACAGCCAAATCCTGTCTGCAGTGATGTTGTGCAACAGTGGCAACTGGAAGAACAATATGTAAGGGGAAGAGTGAGCTGTCCTGATCTGGTCTGCTGCTATCAAAAGTGGGTGTTCCCACCTGCCCGTGTGCCACCTTGCACCAGCTCTGTGCTCCACAGACCCCTCTCACTTGCTGAGTTCAGCTTACTGATGTCGCACAAAAGCATCCCAGCAAAACCATCGTATTTTTGTGCCGGGATAGTGAGCTGGGGTCCATGAAGTGTGCAAGTGCCGTAAATGGCCCATAAAAGGGAATGCCTGACACATCCTTGTTAGCCATGGTGAGCATTTAGACCTGCTAAACCATCTTGCTTGCTGTTGCTTTGTGGCTTCTGCTGTGTTGGTGAGAGAAGTAGGAGTTAGAAGATCTTCCAGCAGCATCTTATAAGCATTAATGGGGCTAAAGTTTGGGTCTGCCTGAGGTGATGCTGGCTGCAGAATCTCTTCAGCACAGACAGGGTCCTGCCAGGTGCTGCAGATCGGGTGGTTCCTGCTAGCACTGCCCGATGATATGCTTGGCAGGTATTGCTAAAAATCAATGTCTCCTCATATCAACTAGCCTGCAGCACACAGCAGAGATCCCCTAAACAGACATGTTAAAGATATCTCTGGTGTGACCGTGTTCTTTGTGAACAGTTTCCCTGTAACGACTTTCCCTCGCTTGCTCTAGGCGCAGCTTGAGGTCAGTTCTGCCCTGTCTCCCATGAGAGATGTAGGTAAATAAGAGTGATGATTTCCAGGGGAGAAAGAGTGGAAGTATTTAAGTGCAATTAACCTCTCCACCCCATGATAACCACTCAGCTTTTGGCAGCTAGCTCACACCACACTCTGTGTTAAATCATACTCGTGGCTGTTATTTATGGATGTTGTACTGTCTTGTTTCTTTTTTGGCAGTGTTCAAACAGCAGTGATAAATGTGTTCAAAGGGGGAGGCTTGCAGAACAATGAGCTTTACACCCTCAATGAAAATATCAGGTAAGTTCCTGAAATGCAAGAAGAGGGATTTTTGTCGCTGCTTGCTTGGTTTTGTTCCTCTACAGAACCCAGTTAGAGCATACTGGTGGGAGGAGCAGGGATCAAAGCAAATTTAAGCACAGTTTTGGGGTTTCAGTCTAACTTTTTTGCTGTTAGGTGGAGTGAATGGCATGGGGTGCTTGCATAATGTTTCTCTGACTTGTGTGGCTGTGTACCTTTGACAAGGACGGGATGTGTATTGACTTGGATTACAAGGATTTTGTTCCCTCCTAGGGAGTTTACCTCTTCTGGCTGTTTGTTTTTTTTTTTTTTTTTACACATTTTTATCCTGGCATTTGTGATGCTAGTGACATACGTTTTCTAAACCCAAGCTTCTCAGAACCATGGAGCGTTTAAAATGAAAGCAAAACATGACATTTCATTTAAAAGCTTAATCTTCACATCATAATTGCAGAACAAATCCTGAAAATGGAAACCATAAACATAAAAAAACTAAAAGCCTGACAAACGTTTTCTAACACTGATACTAGTGATTATTTAAAGTTGTTTTATTATTTTAAGCAGGTTTCATTATTATCTGTGGTTTCATTCTGATTATTTGGAAAGTTTGGTTAGCAATAGATAGCACTGTAGATTAGCTAAAGAGCAACTTCTTGCCTTGGTTCCAAGTGCTGCAAAGAAGGGTGTTGTCTGAGCTCATTGATGTAGTTTCTCCTCCCTCTCTTTCCCACTGCATCCATATTCCTTCATCATGTATGCTGTCATATAGGTCCTTGCTTCTTCTTTTATATGCTCCCCCCCCATTCCTACTGCATTATTCCTGAGCACCAAGATTCAAATGGCAATTTGGGCTAAGTGTGTGCTAAGCAGCAGTCTAAACAACCCGTTTCTATACTTTCAAATAAATGCAGGGCACGAGACTCTATCCTACTTGGTCCGTTCCCAAAGGTGAAAGTTTAATACAGTTCCTTTTGAGAGCTGAGTGAGGGCAATGTCTCATGCTTTAATGGTATTTTAGTGTGCTCAGGTCAGAAGTCCAGAGTTAGATTTAAGTACTTGGAGCAGTCTTAATCCTCCATGGGATGAATATTTCTGTACGTGAAAAGAAAAACAAATGTTGTAAGACTCTGGAAATACCCTGACTGGCAGCCTGTTGGCGGGCTTGAGGACTGGCTTTGGGTTTTGTGACTTGACTGCCAGGTGGTTGCCCATGGTGGTGGCCGCAGCCTGCTTTCCCTCCCCGGTGCAAGCAGGCATTCCTTCGCCAGGCAGAAGAGCCCAGTGGCTGGACCATCTTCTCTTCCAGTCTGTCACTGAAGTGGATTGAGACTGTGAAGAGCCAGATGAAGGACAGGAAACTTGCTGTGAACTGTGTATGCTCTGAGCACAGAGCTGGTGGTGGGAGGGGACATGCTCTCTTTCACGTACAGGCACTCCTGGACAGCACTTGGAAGCACTCACCTTGAAATACATGATTAATGTCCCCGCAGGTGCCCTGAGCATTGGTTACATCTCCAAATGTCATTCTCTAAATAGGCCACTTTAACATTCAAGTAGCTCATTAATGTCAGTCTGAGGAGCAAAGGACATATTTGTGTGCACACCCGCAGCCTTGCACCTCTGACTCTCGGGGAAGCTCCCAACACCCTGTTAGCTCTGTGTGCTGGAGCGGAATCTCTAGCTTGACTCTGGGCAAAAAGCCAGACCTGTCAGACAGCCACCCCATGTGTGCCAATAGGTTGAGCTGGTGCGTTTTCCTTGTTTGTAGTTCTCCGATCAGCTCCTTGGTGGCAGTTAGCAAATACAGTGCTTTGAGAAACTTAGAGATTCTGCACAGCACTTAGTTATTTGACAGTGGGAAACACAGGAGAGTTTGAAAATAGGACAGTAACGACAGGACCAGGAGACAAGCAGGTGGTATAATTTTGCTCTGGATTGCTGCCACCAAGTTTTTATCTTGCTGTGATTTGATATCGTCTTAGTGGACACTTTTTTCTTTTACTGCTCTGAAAGTCAGTTTTCACAGCAAGAGGAAATGTTAGAAGTGCCAACAGGAGATGGGATTTCAGGAAGCAGGAGGTGGCCATGATTAGGAGGAGACCACTCCCTTAGGTTGTCTCTAAGGTACAAGCCTCCGGTATTGGTTTTACCGGCATGAGGCAAAGTCCTGCCATGGGCTTGTCGGTCAGGGAAAGGGCCCTGGATTCTGCTGAAGCCAGTAGAAAAGCTTCTGGTAAATGGGTACCCAAAGACTCACCTGGTTTATCCATCTTGAATAGAAATGTGCTTTGAGATTGACGGGGTGAATATAACCACTCTGAGAGAGAAAGAGTAAAGACACATTGGCATGCAAGTACATGGGGAGGAGGGAAGGTTACGGTCAAAATCGACCTTCAGCAAATATTAGGAAAAAGTGGTGAAGTTTATTAGTAAGATCCCAGCCTGAGAACTGTATGGCCCCCGATTCAAATGCCATTTTTGAGCACTCTTAACATTGGTGAAAAGCAAAACTTTAGACTATCAGAAAAATACAGTGTTTTTCAGTGGCAAGCATTAGGTGCCTTTTAAATTTTAGGCAGAATTTACTGCTAGAAGAATTTATGCTCACAGTCACTGAAAGCTGAAAGTGCAAATGCTCTGAACTTTGTGAATTATTATTTTTTTAATGCTTCTTCTGATGTAAAACAATGCTGAATTTATATTGGAGTTTTGAAATATAAATGTGTATTAGAATTTCAAACTTGTATCACAGCCTGCTTTAAAAACCAACAGTATCAGAAGTACTTGTTTAGAGTGGCTTCTGTCAGCATGTGTTTAAAACACTTTCTTGTTAAATTTCTAGAATTTCTTTCTTCAAAAATAAGGTGGTGTGAGTTTTTTAAATTTTAAATGCAGTAGTCATGAGGAAGCTGAAGCCGCAGCTTCTGCTTGTGTGTTTACTTTAATGCTCTTCTCCTTATCCTCCCACCTTCTACTTCCAAGAGAAAAGGAAGTACAGCATTAAGGAGATATGCTGTTTTCAGTGAAATGAAAGGCATCTTTGTTTAAACAAAAAGCAGAATAAAATGATGAATTTCAAGCTAAATAACATCCGATTGTCTCCCCAACTTTCTGTGCATTCAGGGGGTAAATTATTTTTGCTTGTTCTAGGTGTGTGGCTTATAAATAGAAGACTTAAGTGAAACTGTTTCATTCCTTCGTAATTTGAGGATAGTCTTTGTGGGTTTTCATAGAATATATACCGAAATGTCAAAGAAATCTAACTGTGGCCAAAATGACACGTTCACATATACTCACGTATCTTTGGTATGACTGGTAGTAAAGTGTGAATACACCTGTAGGAAAAGACCAGCAATGGCTGTTACTTTATGGCTGCATTCCTTCTGTCTGCAGGCGGCTGCTGAAGAGTGAACTTGGATCCTTCATCACAGATTACTTTCAGGTATTACACGATTTGCTTGCTTTCTTTTGAGGTTTGCTCGCTTTAGCTTTTTAGCTTATAAAAAAGTTAAGACCCCTTTTTACATGCACGTAACCTACAGGTTTCACTTTTGTTTTGCTACAGAAGATGATGGAGGTACTGGACTTCTTTAATGTGGGCCTTGGGAGTAATCATATTTATGGATGTATGTGCTAAATCAAGGATAATCTTCCTTTGCGTTTAAAAAAGGCTGCTGGTAGCCTGCCAAGGTCAGGAAGGAATTCGCTTGAACTCTTAAAAGAAGATGTGATACCTTTCATAGTAGTTTACACTCTATTTCTCTAGTATAGAGAATTCAGGAGTAGGTTTTCTGCAAAAGGGGCCGGCAAAGGGGAAGAGGAAAGATAAAGGCTGTCTGTTTTTGGGGGCGGGCAGAGAAGGAAGTCCCTATCAGCAGGAAATCAACCTGGTACTGCCTTTTAGTCCCACAAATATAAACGAAACCTGTGAAAAATCAAAGGATGGAAGATGAGGGAAGACCTGACCAATCACAAATGTGAATAAATGTTACTGCCTTTTGCTGATACTGTCCAGATAGACAGAGGTTCAAATATAACCACATGAAAGTGCGTTGGATGATTTTGAGAGAGCGCTGATGGCTTTCAGCGTTGTAAGTTGTTTGGTGTAGTGTTGATTTAAAAAAAAGGAGGGGTCTGCTGAAAACAAGAGGGTTTTTTTCCCTTTGAGTGAGAGAGAGAGAAAATTTCAGTGCTTGCTAAAGCGGCGGAGACTTCTGCATACTGTGCTAACAGCTTAGAAAGGGGAAAGAGAAGACGTGTTGTTTCTTATCAGTATTAGATTACGTGACTTAAAAAAAAAAATCCCCCATGCTATGTTGTCAAGTTCGAAGCAACCTCCTGCCCCAGAGGTAGTTATGTCTCACTTCTTTAGACTCTATCTGTACAAGTCATTGCCTGGAAAGAGGTGGCTGCTGGCTGAAAGGTGGGACATTTCCTAGACAGTGAGCAGGGTCTGGTGGCAGTCCAGAGAAAAGGCTGTGAGCTCATAGCATAAAGTGCCTGGCTTAAGCAGAAACCTGCTACTGCTCCTGCGAATTTAAAAACAGGCAAATGAAAGTTTGCAGCTAAATATATATGGCAAATTGAAATCTGAAGGGTTAGGAGTGGTGTGTGAGGCTGGAATAAGCAGTCTGGAGGCAAATTCATGCACCTGTAAGTCTGAGCAGAGCATGGAGCTGGGCAGGGTCTCAAGGGATGCAAGGTGCTGACGTACGACTGTTATCTGGGCTTTGAAAATTCAGGGGGTACTGAAAGAGGCCTGGGGGGTTTCCAGCGCCAGGGAAGGCACGACTGCATGATGTTTGTGTGCAAGAGGAGCTGACCACTGCTGGGGATTGGGTGGCTCCCAGTGCTGGGCTCTGGATGTGTTGTGCTTTTCCTCCAGACTGTAAACCTCAAGCCGGCCACAGTAACCTGGGGCTAGTGGCGTTACCTGACACTTCTTTAGATCTCCTAGTAGAGCTGAGGACTGACACTGCTTAGACACAGCCTGCTCGCTGCTGGAGGCTGAGTAGCTGTGTTGTGTTCCTTTTAGCAAGCTGAGGGCATCGGATCTTGTCCTGAGAGAAGGATCTGATTGCCATCACAGTTTTGTGTAAAAGCAGGAGCAAAAGCCGAGCTCTTTCACCCTAATGGCAGGGCTGTACTGCTTCAGCCACGGGCCACAGTCACAATGTGCTGCACTACTGCCATGGCCTTTGCCTTGGGAGATGCAGTGCAAGGCCTTGGCTGAGTTTGCTTTTCTGTCAGTCTGTCTGTTCACGTGTGTGCAGATACCTCAGCGTAGCTGTACTAGTTTGCCTGCAGCTGTTGTTCTCCCACTGAAGCCACTGGGACTCAAATTTAATTTCTGGGATTTTTTTTTTTGCTCAGTGTTAAAAAGAATAACTTGGCATCCATCAGACGTAGCCTGAAGTAAAACTCTTGGTGCTGGCAAGCCAAGAGACAAACCGTGAGATAAAGGCTGTTGTAGGAGATGAGCTTTTTTTCCCTGCTGTGAGCTAAGATGCAGACTTATTTCTGATTCTAGACTGACAGCACGTGGCAGTGATAGAAGTTACCACTCTCTCCTGAATGTCTTTACTCAAAAATCCTCAGGCCATGGAGTGGGGTAAGACTATTCATGTGCCAAAGAAGGTCTGACAACATTATTTCATTTCTCTGTGGGTTCAGTTTCGCTGCTGATGCCAGCTGATTTACAGCAATACTGCTGCCACCAAAATGAGCAGAGATGAATCAGGCTGCTGATTTCACTGAAGAATAACCTTGAAAGAAAAACTAAAGTTCTCAACTGCTTCTTGACTTGTGCTCATCACCTCTGACATGGGGGAGGTGATGGGAGTGGGTCACCAGGACGGGGAGTGGAGTGAAAGTGCATCTTTTGGCAGCGACTTCCTCCTCCATCTGTTAAAGCCCATTGAAAAGCTATCCCAAAAACCAAGTTTACTTGTTCTCTTAGTTTGAAATGCACCCTGAAGGATCTGCTCTCATGTGTAACCAGGCAGTTTGAAATATCTTAGCAGCAATTAGAGCAACTAACTGGGTCATGTAATATTTAGATATGATAAATTGACTTAAATGTTTTTCATTTCTTATGCCACTCTTGTAACAGGAGGCACTAAGATAATTTTTTAAATTATATTTTCCATTGTTTTAAGAGTTCTGGATCTTTATATATATATATATATATATATATATATATATATTATACACACACAATGCATAATTTTTCTAACCACTGAATATTTAAGACTAAAATGGAGCAGAGCTTTAGTAGTGAGACAAATCTACCTTTGTGATCAACTTGACTACTCACAAGTCCTTTTCACCAACAAAATACCAGGTTTTAGTTCCTGACGTTGCTAAAGGGATGTTTAGGAAATGGATGGGGTTTAGGCAGTCTTTCTCTGCTACCAAACTGTCGTCATACCAGAGTTACTGAGTCTGTTTTGTATTTGAAAGAGAAATGTAATTCCTGGAAGGGTTTTGGTGGGAACTTGGATGTTTCTTTCTGAAGGAGATTTGTGTTTATAAATCTGCTGCTTTAACAACCCTGTTACAGATACAAGCCATCTCCTTGAATTGGAGTCTGAGTGTAAATGCCAGATAGTTGGAACTCATATTTGCTGCAGATCTGCCTTAAAAGTGATGCTTCATGCTCCAGGTTTTCCAGTACTGACTTTACTTGTGAACTGATCCGATAGATTTCTCCTTTGTACCCACTGCTCTGCTCAGTAACCCTGCAGGGACCACCCTCTTCTACTGCTGGGTTGGTTCTTAGAGGTCAGCTGAATTGCCACAGGGAGGAATCCTATGGCTGTGGAAAGGTGAGAGGCTGGGCTTTGGAGGAACAGGATGTATCGGCTGTAAGATTTTTCAGATAAGCTCCTTTCATGCTGTCTGACCCTCCTGGTTGCGGAGAAAATTTTTGAAATACAGAACTACTGAGTGTTGATAAATTGATGCATTATCTTCCTGATTCTGCAAAGAGCCTGAAACAAAACCTTTGGAAAAGATGAACTGTTTCTTTTCACTCTCTGGGGGCTTGCTAATATTGAAACTCATGGGGGAAAATGGAAATGTTAGCTGTTTCACAGCTAACCACTTTAGCAGAACTGCCCGGTTTATGCATATTAACTTCAAACTGTCTCCTTTCGAGGCAGAGAAACCCTATCCCTTCCTGGGCTCTGTAAGCTCTTGCAGCACCCAGGGGCTGCAAATGCAGAAAATCAAATGCCCAGAGTTGGTGTTTCTCCAGCCTGATGTTGACTGTCTGCGTGGTAGGTGCAGGGTGGTTGAGTGGACAGTATTTCCTCACTTAACCCGATGAGAGCTTTGATGTCTTAAAACCAGAAGTGAAGCTGTTACATAATTTCCAGCCTGCTGCAGTGGAGAGCCAGAGGAGGTGGCAAGTCCTGACTCAGAATTAGGCCCGGTTTTATGTTTGTATGCAAAACCATAGAAACCACAATGTGTGAGCACCCATGTTTCTGGGCTGTCGAGCAAAGTCAAAATAGGAAGATGATAATGTAAAGTTGTGAAAGTAAGGAGCAGCAGTGATGAGGCAAGCCTGGATCCAAGCCACAATTGATTTTGTCCCCTTTCCCTTTAGCACAGTGAGAAGTGGGACAGGTGAAATTTCATGTGGACAGAGTTGCTCTCGCTGCATCAAGGCAGCTGCAGTGGCAGGGGGAAACATGCTCCTTCCTCTGCTGTGGCACTGTAAAGCTTTTCTGACGTCCCTGCTGCATGTCTTCATGGGACTTCAGCCTGTCCAGCATCTCTTGTGATGCTTGCTCTCCTTTGAAAGGCTGCTTTGTAAAGCCGTGCTAACAGCTGAAAATGCTGTGCATCCCTCTCCCCTGCTTGGTCAGAGACAGACCTGATGCGTCTGACATTTCTTTTCTTGGCGCCAGGTTTCTGCTTCTACCTGTTTGGCAGCAAGGCAGTAGTTGTGTAGATTGTTGGAGTGATGGTAGTTGCTGGATAAAGGCAGCGCTAGCTCTTCTCTGACCAAGTGCTGTCTCGTGCCGCTGCACAAGGGGAGAGAATTCACAGTGGTGTGATTTGTGTAGCTCAGCCATATGTCTGCAATACCCTTTTGGGTCAAGCTGGCCTTTACTGTTGTATTTCTCTCCTCGCTGACTAGGAACCCCTATTTGTGCAGGTCTGCTAATTACTTCTGCTTCATCTGGCACTTTCTAGGACTGAGCTTTCATGGAGCAGCTCCAGAGACTCCATAGCAACTGCCCGGCTCCATGATCATGGACGGGGTCACCCAGCAGCTTGGCCCCGTTACTGCGAGCCAAGCCGAGGACCCAGTCCTGGGTGGCAGTGACAGCAGGGACACCTGCTTTCAGGCCCTATGTGCATCAACTCTGTAGACACAAGTGATTCACTTGAAGTGGTGCCTAGTTGCTCACATTCCAAGTGTAGCATGGA